GTTCATAATACTGCCACAAACTACATCACCGATCTGATATCCAAATACCACCCAAAACACACTCTTTGCTCCTCACAAGGCCTCCTACTCTCTAGTTCCCTGGTCTCTTCCTCCTATGCCTGTCTCCAGGACTTCCCCATCCTCTGAAACTCCCTACCCCAATCCATCAGACTATCACCTACTCTCCTTTAGGCGCACCCTGAAAACCCATCTCTTCAGGGAAGTCTACCCCGCCCTCAGCTAATTGCTGATCTCCTCCACCCTTCCTACCACTCCATCCCCCACAGCCATTTCCTCCCGTACCACTCTCCCCCTCCCTCCTAGATTGTAAGCTCCAAGGAGCAGGGCCCTCGAACCCCTTTGTGTATTGAATTTTATTGTTACTGTACTGTCTCCCATTGTAATGTACAGCGCTGAGCAAACTGTTGGTGCTATATACTGTTTAATAGCAGACAGCAATGATTGTCAATGTCTGCTCAGCCCCCCCAGTGCTTACTGGAGCATTGGACTGTGGAGGGAGTGGTTGCCTAAGGCTGGCCATACATTATACAATTATCTGCAGATGTTCTGCCCAATTTCCTTTAGATTTACCTTCAACTATGTAGTGCAAGGGCCTGCCTAATTTGATACAACAAAGTGTTGTTTAGGTTTGTCCTCCTATTATATGGTTTTTGGTAAATCTAAACCAAAAATCTGCAGATAATTGTATAATGTATGGCCAGCCTAAGGCTCTCAGCAGCTCTGAGTGGCTGAGCCAGGTGTGGCTCCAGACTTGGGGATGGATCCCAACTTTAAAGCCTGCTGAGTGACATCAGGCTTCAGCCTGCTTTCAGCTAAAAACGGGTCACAGGAGTCCAGAACGAACTGCACTCCTGTGATCCACAGAAGTACAGGCAAAAGAGCTTTGGCTGTACCTAACATGCATCACTTTAAATAAGTTTAATGTTTACAAAGTGGAAACTGTGCTGAAACACTGTCTTTGTTGTATGACCATCATGCACCTATATGTAGAAGAATTTATGTATTTAACATCTGTAGCTGGAAATACTGTGGAGTAATTAATCTCCAATATAAGATTCTTTATCTGAGCTTGTTTTTACAGCACTTGCGCTAGTTAGATTAGAATGCTGCTGTTATACAAAAATCAGGGGAGAAGAGCTGGAATTTCAGTACCTCTGTTACAAACTTTGAGGAAGATTCATTCTACAATGCCTATAGATCAGTGTCTCAACTCCAGTCCTCATGGACCCCCAACAGGTCATGTTTTCAGGATTTCCATTATTTTGCACAGGCGATTTGATCAGTTTCACTGCCTTAGTAATTACCACAGCTGTTTCATCTGAGAGAAATCCTGAAAACATTACCTGTTGGGGGTCCATGAGGACTGGAGTTGAGAAACACTGCTATAGATACAAGGAAAGCAACATCACATGGCCCATTTGCTGAAATTCCAGTGTTGTAAAGCTTCAGGTTTATATCCTTTTGTAAAGTTCAGTCAATTTAAGCTAGCATTCAGATTCTGATTGGAAGAAAAAAAAAAAAAGTCCCTACAGCACTACCAAAACAGGAAAGACTGCACATAAGTAAATATACAGGTCATACACTGCAAAGTTTTTAAAGCCATTAATACTTAATGTTTCTAAACCCAGGACTCTGTATTTACTATATCTGGAATCCCACAGTACACATGGAAATGCAATTATTTTAGTAAATATAAACTGCTAAATACCTTCTCATTAGCAGTCTTGTGACTTTAATCAGTGTCAACCAGAGCACTGGTTAAAGCTTGTAGGATTTTTCATTGTCCTTAGAGATTGTCCTATGGAGCTGCAGTACCCCTGACCTTGTCTGGCCAGTGCTGGTTGGCCCTGTACAGATCACATACTCTCAAGAACAAAAAAAACCAAACAAACCACAACACTAGCAATAGACAAAATGAGCATGTGCAGCATGTGCCCAAGACTTAGCAGATGGATTGGTTTCACAGCGAGAATAAAGCATGCTTTACTGCATATACAGACTGATTTTACGGTTGTGGGTTTAAAATCCTATTGGTGCATTTGCATTGCAAGTAAAACAGCATTTAGTGTTTAAACAGGGCTGTGTTTTACTGCAAAAGCAGTATTTGACAACATCCCTCCATCTACATAGGCCCCAATGTGACAGATGCTTAAATAAAATGATTACAAGTGATGACTTAAGAAAAATCTTTATTCACAATACAACTGAATACACATAAGCAGTTTATAAATACAGATGAAAAGCATAAAAAGGGTTTAAAGAAGAAAAACAAAAAAGATAAATTAAGATCTGATGGCTGGATACAGTGGATGTCAGTGCAATCTTTTCCATACTGATAACAGAACGGTCTTCGCACAGCTGAATGCATGTATAACCAGGAAAATGATAAAGGGATCATTTTAGAAACCATACTAGGATAATGTAAAGCCAAGTAAACCTGTCACGTGACCAATGGTAGCCATTTTGCGTAAAAAGATTGCCAGTACTAGTTTTCACACCTCTCCATGAGCTAGTCAACTAATAGCCCAGTTTAAAAATGAAACAAAATGACTCCTATGATCTATGATAGGTCCGCCTAAAGTGATTGAATTCCTGTACATTTGCAGCTAAACTTTTGAAGAATACTAAATCTTTGGTTCTACAAGATTAAAATTTGAATCCTGATGAGGTGGCCAAAAATGCACTCAAAGCTTAACATGTACAGTTAGTGATATCTAAATTGTTAAGACTGACATTACACAATGGTAATCATGGTGACTTAAATTATCAGGAGTCAGACTATAGCCAAGCAATGCCAATGCTCTCCTTAGATAAGTGTTAAAAAAAAATATACATGAATACAACAGGATATATTGCAAATAGAACAATGTGTAAAGAAAGTGACTTTGTACTGCATAAAATTGTTGGGCTTGTACATTGGCTGCCTTCTGTGAGGTTACATCATTCATCCGCTAGGTTACAATCATACCATATAAATTACTACAAATGAACATCTAAGGACAAAAAAAAAAAAAAGAAAAAAAAAAAAAGCAGTGTATGAAGTGCAGTATTAACTCATTTCATTGCTGTTAACAGTAGACGGAGCTATGATTGGCTGCATTGATTACCTGCACGTGGCTGTATTAAAAAGCTTAAGAAAATATTAGCTACTTCATTAATGCAGAAAGGATTCCAATGATTTATAGTTCTCAGTTTAACCACAGAGCTGGGAGGCCATGTAAAACCTGGGTACTTATCTGAAACCATCTACATTGAGAAGGGCTGGTTGCAATTACACTGCTGTTAAAATCAAATTCAATGTTTTGGTACCAGGCCAGGGCATCTCTCAATGAGTCAGCTTAGGCTTTGCAGATTTCAGGTAAGGGCTCATTACTGCAGCCTTCAGCTCTAGTGGATACAAACAGTGGATGGCTGTACATCAATGAATGTCACAAGTGAAATAATGGGGTTCCATTCTCCTGTTTTAAAAATGCTAGCTGGCAGGCAGTATGGCTTTAATACCTCCAAGTCAGAGACCAAGAAGGCAACAAATGCAAGTCAGAATTCCTTATTTTAATACTTGTTCAAGGTCAGACGACCAGGAAATCATTTTCAGAAAGGGTCAGCAAGAACCTTCATATTTCTCTCATGGCAGGCTTCCTTAAAGTGAACACATTGAAACTTTCTGAAGAACATTTTAAAGCAAAGTCTGAAAACGGCTAGAACTTCATAGAATGAGGCCAAGTACTGCCAAAAACCCAGTCACTACATGCTGACCACCTGAAACCTATTCCTGGGGCCAGCAGTGTATAACCTGAAGGGAGATGTGTCAGCTCTGAGAAACACCACCAACACATCCCACAATGCTAAGCACCTTTAAAAAGGCAGTACATCAGTGAAGAAAACACTGAGAAAGGTCCTCAGAATCTGTTTCCAATGGTGGCAAGGACTCACTGCAAACATCCATGCTGATGGGGCTTCCTGCAGTGACAGGTCCTCAAATATCCAGAACAATGGGCACATGGCAGTGCCTTAGCTTCATCTATAAAAAGTTCTAGCAGTTGGTACGGACAAGTGAATTTAAACTGAAAAAAGGAGTTAAAATACCAAATAGAAATGTTAAATAGCTACATATCTTCTGGCAAGGACGCCATCATAAAATTACACGTCAGGATACATGACAGGTAAAAACAGCTCAACTACTGACTGAAACATTAAAAATCATGCACTTTTGTGCAATACAGTCCACACAAGATGAGATCATTTCATTAAATAATTACAGTGCAGTGATCTGTTGGGTGGGAAGAGGGGAGGGTGGGACCGTCACAGGAATGTCAGAGCTGGAAACTTCCATGTACTGCAACATGATTGTACATACAGACCTCTGCATGCTCAAAATTCCATGTCTAAAGAAGTTCCATCTATTACTGCAAAGCATTGAGGAAGGGGGGGGGGGGGGGGGGGGGGGGGGAGGGAGAAAAAAAAAAAAAAAAAAAAAAGAAAAAAGAAAGTGCTGGGTTATCACAGTACTTTGTAGAGAAAACTGGTTCATTCTTCTTGGAAACTTATGTGCAGGAAACAGTTCCAAAATAACCATTTCTTGTTTTTAAAAAGGAAGAGACAGCTTTACAAACTTCACAGAGATGGCCCTGAGTTACTTAACAGATCAGAGTCTGTTTAAAGATTTGTAGGGCAGCAAGATTTGTTCTTTTATAGCAGCAAAGCCATCATACAGTTTCCAAAGCAAGTAAAAACACAAAAAAAAAAAAAAAGGCAAAAATGAGAATTTGACTGAGTACTATATTGCCAACTCAGAAGCAGTTAAAAAAAAAAAAATTCTAAAAACGACCAGTGTAGTTCAGCATTAAAACCAGTTCTAGGCCTTTCTTGCTGTGTTCTAACCCTCTTTACTGTACGGTGGTGTACCAGCAACATGGATTTGTGGTTTCCCGTCTGGAAGTTAAAGGGTTAAAAAGGTTTGCAATGTTAACAGGTCGCTGCTAGTGTCTTGAACGGCCACCTTCGAATGCATGGTGCTCTTCGTGAGCTGCAAAAAAGACCAGGCTGGTTTGAATACAGGTTTTAAATGAAATAGCAAAATTTACACACATTTCAGTAAAAATGCAAGACCCCTTTATAATGTTAAGACTGTCTGAATACATATTTAAAATAATGCTCTATCACTTTACCCGCTATAGAGCAGCAGAATTGGTTAGTCATGTGTTGAGAAAAAAACTGTTGGAAAGCAGATTTGTCAATTAAAAGTTACTATAGGAAATTAATAGTACGCAATTTGAAAAAAAAAAAAAAAAAAAAAAAAAAAAGGGGGGGGGTAGGGGGAGCCAACTGATCACTACTTCCTTTATGCACACTATAGCAGAAAGCAGTGGATTGTTGGTGAGAAGGGTTTGAGCGTGAGGACAAGTGAGCTACAGCACAAAAGCTGGGATCAGACTGGCATACTATGAAGTCAGTCTGCAGCCAGAGCTACGGGTCTGACAGCAGGTATTGAAACTTCACCCTCCTCCCGGACAGTATATGCATGTTGTATTTACAGAGCAGTCTGCCCAGTGATTATTGCAGAGTCTGGTATTGTCAGGAGGAAATACAGATTTTGTGAGCAGTGGGCAAGCATGGGACTTTTTGCCGCTGAGCTTCCCAGCTGGAACATCCACATTACAAGTCCAGGAACTTAAGGATTGACAAACCTGCTTTTCAACAAAATTGTGTTGTGAAGGTTTTTGTTGTATATTTGCTCTGTGTTAGCATTTTGAGATGCAGAGGGGAAGGAGCAGTGGGGATTGCTTGAAGGCTGATCCAGTGGATCCAATAAACCAAAGTTAGACAACACACAAGTATGCAGATCAGGACCGACTTTCACTGGCTGAAAGCTTTTGGTTAGCCTCAAAACCCTGGCTCAAAGAAACTATAGAATTTTCACACTCATAGCTTGAAGTGGCTATAAAAAGCTAAACTTTTGTTTTTTATACCTTTAGCCCCCCCCTTCCCCTCACACACTTGAGCCTGATCTCAATCTAGTGATGTGCATGAGAGCAGCAGCTCTCCTGGCTCTCACCCTCATCAGCTCAGACAGCAGCCTGAGCCAATGGCTTCTGCTGCTGTCAATCACAGCCAGTGAGGAAGGAGCAGGGGCAGGACCAAGGCATGATCAGTGTGTCTCATGGACAGAGCAGGCTGAAGATTGAGCACACAGGGTGGCCCCCATAGCAAGCAGCTTGCTATGGAGCGCTTGGCAGAGGAGAGAAACCAGGGGCCTCAGAAGTGGATTGGGGCTACTCTGTGCAAAACCATTACAGAACAGGCAAGTATAACGTTTTTTTAATCTACCTTTACAAATCACTTTAAAAAGTTGTATATTCCCTCCATTATAGCTCAGCCAGTACTCTAAAAGCAGCTTAGCATAACTTACTAGCCCAGGGGTGGGCAAACTTTTTGACTTGAGGGCCGCAATGGGTTCATATATTGGACCCGGGGGCCGGACCAAGAGTAGATGAATGATGTGTATGTGTCATCCATAGTAAGTATAGTAATATTCCCCCATAGTAAGCATAGTAATTCAATCCCCCCATAGTAATTCAATCCCCCCCATAGTAATTCAATCCCCCATATTAAGTCCCCAAGTCCCCCCTGTGTCAATTCACTTACCTTTGCTCCGCGCGTTCCTCTCGCCGTGTTCCCGCACCGTTCCGGTGTAGCATGAAAATCTGTCTCCTATGAGGATCTGTCCCCCTCGACGTATCTGCACATGTGCCAGTTTCAGTAAACATTAGAATGATGTGCTTACCGTAAAAGCTCTATCTTGGTCCTCGATCTGTCCACTAAAGTCGTTTTCCCCAGAAGGGCTTTTGCTTACTCAAGTACATTTTGGCAATTAGCAGCCGATCTCCGGCACATGCGCAGATACGTCGAGGGGGACAGATCCTCATAGGGGACAGATTTTCATGCTACACCGGTCTTCAGGGCGGACTGTGAGAGGAGCCTAGCGGGAGCCTAGCTCCGCGGGCCGGATTAAAAGGTCCGCCGGGCCGTATACAGCCCGCGGGCCGTAGTTTGCCCATTGCTGTACTAGCCTGTTGTGTATTCATGAAGGAGAAGGCACATTCTAAGTGTTTGTGAGGTGCATGCAGCATTGGTACTTGCACAAAAGCACTAATTTCAGTAACACTAAAGCCTACTGAGATCGGCTCAGATTTAGCATGCATGCACCATTTTTATCCATCAGAGGCGGCAAAAAAAGGGTAACCAAGAACAGCACAGCGTGTCACAGCTACCAAAAGACTGTACAAGTTTATAACTTTGTATAATCCATTCAGCGCAAACTCTTGCTACAGTTAATTTGCTTCTAACAAAGGTTACAAATTTCCATTATGAACGGTTTTCCAGCCTTTTGAAAGCTTACACTAGGTTTCTTACAAAGCATGCTGGGCTTCCTAGATTAGAAAAACAGTAAATATAGTTATGTTTGCTGATGTAGCTATAGCCATTTATTCTAGTTTTGAATAAAGTGTGAATTTACTGCTATCTGGGGCCTGTTCGAGAATTCCCCCTCCTCCAAGTAGAAGCTTGAACATCTGATCTTGTTAGCACAGTTTCCCTGCAGCAGACTTTCCCTTGTTTTCTGCAGCAAAAAAAATGCATCACCAGGACAGGACAAAGTGAAGGGAAATCTTCAATACCCTGACAGCAGTAAAACCTAAAAAAAAAAAGGGTCTCATATCCTTCACACTATATAAAGATAGCTAAAGGTTTTCTATATCCATTAATCTTCTAGTTCAGATATTATGGTCTTTGCTAGCAGGAGTAAGGGGGTATTCCCCGGTGATCATTTTAACCTAGCAGCTGCTTGAAAGGTTTTATGAGAGGAGACCTTGATTACACCAAGCAAACTAAAAAAGTAAATCTCTGCAACACAAGCCTTTTTTTTTACAATGCCGCTGCTATAGCTCCCAATAACTGTTTTGTATGAAAGGGATCTTGAGAGATTTAGTTCTTGGGTTGATCTCGCTCCCCTGCAACTGTAAACCTGGTGATGTCACAGGGAATACTGTTTCTTGCTACAGGAACATTCCTAAAATCTTTGTGCCTTTTCATTATCCCTCTTGCTTTGTGGTCACACAGCCTCTACAGCGACACCAAGTCTCGTCAAGATCTGACAACACTGCAAGACCTGTGCTAAAGCTACAGCAGCACTGTCATTCACTACCCACCCCATCTCCTCCCAAGTAGAAGCAGGGGGAAAAGTGCTTTGTAAATGCTTACCAACAGCTCAGATCTTAAAATCTGGAGGTGTAGCAGTCACATAACACGCACAACCCCCCGCCATAGACAGCAGTGCCAAGCTATCAATACAGTTCAGTATTCAAACAGTCTGATGCTTTTGGCATTCTAAAGCTCCCAAGGCCACATACTAGTTTGGGGTCAGAAGTTGTGGGAATTCAACTGAAGGTTTAGCTTTTATTTTTTTTTAGTATTCTTTTTGTACATGTATTTAAGCTATGATGGATATAATCATGCACACACATATATTTGTTTTTAATCTTTATGGGTGGAGATTTATGAACAGAATAAAGGTTTGTTTTTATACATCTCCTTTAGGTGCACTCTGAAAACCCATCTCTTCAGGGAAGCCTACCCCACCCAGTTAACTTGCCGACCTACTCCACTCTTCCTACCACTCCATCCCCCACAGCTATCTCCTCCTGTGCCACCATCCCCTCCCTCCTAGATTGTAAGCGCCAAGGAGCAGGGCCCTCGATCCCCTCATGTTTTGCATTGTATTGGTATTGTTCTGTCACATGTTCTGTCCCCCTTTGTAATGTACAGCGCTGAGCAAACTATTGGCGCTTTATAAATACTGTATAATACATCAGTATACAGGGTAAGTTGGATTTATTGCCACTGTTCATAGACATGGCCACTAGATGTCTCCACTTACCATTGTACCATTTACTATATGGTGTACATGGCAAGTTTTTATAGTAATGATCTTATAGTACAAGTACAGATACTTTTACTCAAGTACTCGCCAATACCAATGCCTTTGTGGTACAATTCCTGTCCGAATCATATGCAGTTTCCCTGTGTGAACCCAGGCTGAAAACACTGACGAGCCTAGGTTCACAAGTACTGGGGAAACCACATGATACAGACATAAAATCGCACTGCATTCCTGTTCAAAATTGCATGCCATTCTTTGAAGTGTGATTTGAGCCCACTCATTTTCTATTTCTGTACTGGTTTTAGGCATTGGAGCATATGCATGAGTACAAGTACATGTGCAAATGCTTAGTATTCGCTCAGATACCAGTATTGGTATCTGTGCAACTCGATCTAGTGTTTGATGTGTTATGCTGGACAGTTAGATTTTTAATTCAGCCTGCAGACGAATCTGACAAATTCACTGGTCACTATAAAGACTTTATTTCAGGTACTTTATAGCGCTATCAATTTACACAGAATATGCATAAAAATTGATCAGCATGTCATTTTCATTTGGGTTCAGTGGCTCTCATTAACCCCTTTGCACCGCCTCCTGGCCCTTTAACTGAGATCTAAATGCCGGGAGGTGGAGACCGGCATTCTGATTATGTGACCACTGATTTGCTGTCACAGCAGTCACATGATCATAAGCAAGCATCAAGAGCTTTCCATTACATGTTAAATGCTATGCTGGGAGGATTCAGGGAATGCTCTCAACATAGGAACTTAACATATGTGGCTGTTCAGTGTTAAAGCACACCCACAGAGGATGCATATATATGCCACATCGGGGGAGGAGTGTAAGGCTGGGGCTGCACAGTGTAGATTGAACTGTATCTCCTAGATTGTAAGCTCGAAAGAGCAGGGCCCTCAATCCCCTCATGTTTTGCATTGTATTGGTATTGTTCTGTCACATGTTCTGTCCCCCTTTGTAATGTACAGCGCTGAGCGAACTATTGGCGCTTTATAAATACTGTATAATAATAATGAGGCCCCAAAAATCAAAGTCCTAAAGCAACAGTAAAGTTAGAAACAATAGGGTTCCCCACAAACATATCTAATGTAAGGGGGCCTGCCTTACTGGGAGGGTTAGTTCATACCAAGAAATGGGTTTAAACCCCCCCTTCTCAGGCCCTTAACCTGGCTAAAGGCAAATGGGGGAATTATATATGGCAATAAGTGAACCATGTGTTTTGGTCCAAAACCCAGCTAGTCGTATCAATGACACCTAAATCACAAGATGATGTCAACTGAATACATCGGATTGGACAAATACAGTAGATGACCGTAAACACTTACGCTTATAAAATACAGCTTTAAAAGATGTGTTTGGCAGAAGCTCGTAGATCTTTTCTAGGACTGTGGCTTCACCAACTACACCGGCATTTCCATTCCACACCTGGACAACATCTTCACGGTCACGTACACTCACACTGACACCAATTACCTCATCCTCTAAAAAGCAGAATCACAGAATAGTTAAAAACAGTTACAAAAAGGGATCACTATAAAAAAGGCGCAATTAAAAAGTTCTCTCAAAGACAAAAACATCAGTAGCCTCCAATACAAAGTGCTGTCCATACTTCTGAGCTACATACTATTAAATATTGACAATGAACTGACTCAACTTTGCAGTGAATGGAGTTAGCTCTTAGAAACTGGCACCAAGAAACCCCAGGAGTCAAGTAGTCAAAAGCACCTAGAAAGTCCAATTGCACATTGTGAAGTTGATTTTAATCAACTCCGTACACATTTACAGATTGTCACTCATTTAGAATAAGGGATATATATATATACATTTATATATATTAAAAAAGTACACAAGTGTTATATTGATCAATGCTACAGTGTACAAAAGGTATGGCAGAAGAATGGATTTAAATCAGTTCACCTTAAAAAGTTCTGCACAGATGTGTGTAGGCATTTATGTGCATCTCAAAGAATATTTAAATTTGAAAATACAGTTTGCAATCTATTGTCAGTAATTTAATCAAATTAAGCATCACCTACCAAAGAACAGATGGACAGGGATTGCTCAGAGGCCATGGATGACAAAAGTTTCTGGCTCATTCACTGCTTTCAGGTCCCTGTAGCAGGGCTCCACAAGACTAGCCTAACAGCCATATCTCATGGCTCCATGCATGGAATTCACAGCCAGACCTTTAAGGCGTTTGAGAAGTCAAACACCTTCATTTGATTTCTCCTCTCCTTAATACACAATGCCAAAGGGAAGAGTGCTGTGTAAAGGCTACTCAACTTGTCCAGGAATCCAGGTTTGCGTGTCCCACTGGTTTAGCCCAGAACCAAAGCGGCCAACCAAAAGTCTTCAGGCTCCAAACCTACCAGCAGTGATGCCCAGGGTCAGTCAAAGAGGTGCAATGATAAATGCAGATCAGCAGAAAAGACCTGCCACTCCTAAGGGGGTGGTGCCCTGGGGGGGGGGGGGGGGGGGGGGATGCGGGAGAACCAGAAGGCACCCTAGCTGCTCATGCAAGTGGTCCAGGGGCATAAATGTTAAAAAAAAAAAAAAAAAAAAAAAAGTTCTGCTTTACCACCCAATCCATGGAGGTAAGCACTGAAGACAAACCTGGAGGGGAAGATCCCAAAATACAGCTTCTTCCTGACCACACAAGTATTTTTCACATAATGCAGAAACACATACATGACTGTGGAACATGGTTTATGTACACAATTCAAATTTTATTTTTTTATGGAAAATACCTTTAAAAAACTGTTGCTAAACTGAATAAGGGCCCGTTTTTTATTGGCTTTTGGTTGCATCAAACAGGTTTTGCATTCTCATACAAGTCTAATCCCGATTGAAGCATGTCAAACGCAAGAATGTTAAGTGCATGTCAAATGCACCCATGAATTCTGAATGATTTTCAGAACATCTCAAAGGAGGTCATTGACACAAGACCAAAACCAATCCATGCTTACCCCAAGATCTGTACCTGCAAAATAAGCCAGTATATAACTGCTTCTCCCCCTGCCCACACCACCAAATATTGCTCCATGGAAGAGAAATAATCCATAAAAGTCTGCAGTGAAATCAACACTTCTGAGAGTGATGATCTGATCACTTGCTGCACTCTGATGGTCCTTACACCAACCTCAGTCACTACAGGACAAAAAGTACAGATACCATGGAGGTCTGTGGGAGGAACCAATGAGCCCAGCATGGAACAAAAAGCATAATTATACCATCTGGAATTCTTGGTTTCTTTGACTTTAGAATATTTTACACAGATAAACGTTCAGGAGAGACAAGTATACACTAAATTCTTTACAGGTACAGCTGTTTCAGTTTAACACCACATACCCATGTACAGCCGTTGCCATATACTTACTGAAATAAGTAATCTAATAAAAAACTGGTGATGCTGTCAGCAGGAATAGAAGGCTTTGCCTTACTGTCAAAGTTTTAGAAACATCACCACCACAAAGATGTGTAGTAAGATTGGGTCTTATTTACCTGCTGAACAACGATCTGTAAACTGCTCTCCAATAGTAGCTAGCAACAGTTCTTTCCAAACCAATGCCTGTAAAAGAGAAATGGATAAGGATAAAACTGGTAACACCCCTATGTGAAGGGAGAAGGACAATACAAAAGATAGTGCTAAAAGCTGATATCCCATATGAGCTCATTGCTGCATGGCGTCCAAGGAATTGCCATTCTATTCTTATTTATAAGATTGTATTCCATGGTGCTTCTCAGACACCAAACTCATCCCTTTTGCAGTGAAGTTAACAACCCAATGTGCCTACAATGGTCCTTGCAACAATTTCAAGTCAGAAGCTGTTGACCTTTCCTTTATGAACTTGGACACAAAAAAAAAAAAACCCTGGGCAAGAGACCAGACAAATTCCATGAGGAAACTTGTCTTGACATAAAGTTCAGTGACTGTCTTCACCTTTTTGGAAAGGCGAGGTGACCTGCTGTACTGCTGACCCTGGAGTGAATACTTTGCACTGAAAGACATATGTAGCCTAACCCACTCCCTAGCTTTTTACTACTATACTTCTCCCTTTGCTGGCACAGCCACTCCTGGCTCTTAAGTTTACTGCTCTGTCCAAAGTCTCCAGTCTTGGGACAAAGCTGATGGCATACGACATGGGTACAGCCAGTGCTGAGGATTACAGAGATAACTATTGAGGCTTATCAGCTAGTGTGACCAGCACTGCAGAAGATTGACCAATTAGCTTGTGAACAATGCAGCAAGTTGTGTGTTCTACTTCTTGCCAGTGGGTCCAACTCCTGATCACTGTCCTGACCTTGATGAAGTCACAGGGTTTGTGACGAAACGTGTGGGGAGGAGCAAGATGTCGGAGCTGGAAAAACTAGACATTACAGGACGCTGAGCACTAATTATCTAGAGTGACGGCTTGTGATTTAAGTGAGCACTTATACATTATAAAAAAATAAATAAGTTGACCTTCTTAATGCACTACACCAGGGGTCTTTTAAATTGTGTTAAATTTACTGTCCTTCAAACTTTAGAAGGGCCAGAATGTAGCTAGCGGGTGTAATGTAATCAGCAGAAGTAAACCATGCCTCAGAACATGGTGGTCAGCAGAAGTAAAACATAGCATTTGTAGTCAATAGGAGAAATAGTGCTCCATAATTGGTATCAATGGGAGAAATGGTGCCCCATAATTGGTGCCCTGTTCCAGTGGGAGGGATAGCACCCCAAGGACCACATAAAAGGCAACCAAAGGGCTGAATTTGGCCTTGGGCCACAGTTTGGAGACCACTGTACTAAGCAATGGCCAAAAATTTTGGAGAATGCTTTTTTCCTTGCAGGTAAACTAAATTTATCAGTTATTGCTTTGCAAAAAAGGTAATCACAGGCAAGGATATTGCTGCTAATAAGATTGCACCTAAATCAACCATTTATCAGATCAAGAACTTCAAGGAGAGGTTCAATTGTTGTGAAGGCAGCTTTAGGGCCCCCAAGAAAGTCCAGCAAGCGCCAAGACAGTCTCCTAAAGTTAATCCAGATGCAGGATCAGGGCAGAGCTTGCTCAGGAATAGCAGCAGGCAGGTGTGAGTACATCTGCACGCACAGTGAGGCGAAGACTTTTGAAGGATGGCCTGGTGTCAAGAAGGGCATTAAAGAAGCCACTTTCCTCAAGGAAAAATATCAGGGACAGATTGATATTCTGCAAAAAAAAGGTACAGGATTGGACTGAAGACTGGGGTAAAGTAATTTTCTCTGATTAATCCCCTTTCCAATTGTTTGGGGCATTTGGAAAAAACCTTGTCTGAAGAAAAGCACTATCAGTAAAGCATCCTGAGACCATTCATGTGTGGGGTTGCTTCTCAGCCAAGGGAATGGGCTCACTCACAGTTTTGCCCAAGAACACAGCCATGAATATAGAATGGTACCAAAAACACCCTCCGAGAGCAATTGCTTCCAACCATCTAACAGTTTGGTGACAACAAATGCCTTCTCCAGCATGATGGAGCACCTTGTCATATGACAAAAGTGATACCCAAGTGGCTTGGGAAAGAAAAAACATTGAAAATGTGGGTCCATGGCCAGGAAAATCAGTACAGTGTTTAACAGGACACATACCTTTGTATGGGAAGCGGAAGAGGGAGACTAAGAACCATTGAAACGCCTGCATTGATCCCCAGGGAAGGAGAGTGTTGCTTGACCTGTTCTAACCAATACATCAATGCTGGAAGGCAAGAGTCCAATCAAGGGTGTGGTGATGCACATGAATGTAAAGGTTTAGAGGAGTGGGAAAGTGGGCTCACTTACCAGTAGGAGGATCAAATTGTTCTGAACTTTTCTGCATTTGGAGTAGGAATGTTTTTGGGACTATCACCTTTCACAGATAATCTATATTTGCATGTGGATTCACGTGTGATTAGTATTCTGCAAAGGAGTACTTTGTTTGATGGTGTGTATTTTAACATAGTATATGGGTTTTTTTTTTATTTTGTGGCAGCAGCAGAAACCGCACATCACTGCTGGTTTCACTTTAAACTAAAGTGTTTATAAAGAATTTTACAATAAGGGAAAGTTATAATATACATTTTTACATGTTACATGTAAAAATACATGTTGATGCTACAGGAAAAGTTATAAGACTTCAAACTACTTTTGTAGACAGGTCATACGTACTGTGCTTTCTTTAGGGACTTTCATTTTCCATACACCTCCCTTAGCGTTGCTTTCTTCCTCCCTAAAACAAAAGATGAAATTAAGACGGGACACCAGACAAAGCAGAGAACCAATCACAAAAGATATTTCAATTGTCAACTGAGTATAGTATGAGATCACTTTGTAGAGAACCCCTTTAAGCTTCAGATATGCTGCTGTGCACAGACACCAGAGAAGAGCAAATCATAAAACACTTGCCATAGTGGTTTCCTTTCTCCCCTCATTAAGTGGTAGCTACATCTTAGAGGTAGGTTTGTCACAGGAGGGATGTTGTTATACACACTCCAGAAACGCTGTAACAAAACAGAGAAAAAAAAAGAAAAGAGTTCATGATTTTGTTACAAGGTAAAAACTTTCTAAAACAAACCTAACTTTTGTATCAAGCTGCAACAAACTTAAAGTGAAGGGGGTCTGAATACTTTATGAATTCACCGAATATCATTTAAAAAGGATTTTTGTCATATCTGTGAAATGGTTTTGCACAAAGCAGCCCTGATCCTCTTCAGGAATTCCATGCCTGTGCTCTGCTCTAGGCTTCACCCCTTCCAATTGCCCTCACAGCAAGGTGCTTGCTATGGGGGCACTTGAATTGGCTTGATCACAAGGCAGGGTCTGTGTCCATTGACACAGCACATCTGCTTTGCCCCAACTCTTCACAGGCTGCAATTGACAGCAGAAGGAGTCAATGGCTCCCACAGTATGACATTTTAACAGTGATTATGAAAAAAAAAACATAATACATGTCCGGTGAGGAAAGTGCAAAAGATGAAGGTTAAACAGTCACATCAAAAAATTTGTGCCGAAATGGTGGTACAAGATTTTCCTGTCAATACCCACCTGTACCGTGTGCACCGTGTATATCTTCTTCAGGTTTGATTCACATTCTGCTGCGGTTGTCCCAGGAAGAGACCTAAACAGAGTTAAAGATGTCAGCACAGACCACACAGCAACTTTTTATAAAAGTCCAACTCAGATTTTTCAGATGAGCATAGTTAGCACATTTACAATTCCCAGAGCTAAAGGGACCTTGAGGGCATATTTGTCAAGATACAGAGGTATAGCTGGACTAAAAACAATCAAGACAATGAGTGGGATTTACTGATTAAACACCTGGAAAGAGACAATGGTTATACTTAGAATGGCAGACATTTGGACAGTCCCCTGTTGAACAAGCCAAGAGAGGAAAACAAACCCAAAAACTTCTCAAAACAATGGTAAATTTACTATCCAAATATACCCAAGGCTGTTTATTGCACAAGCCCTGTCCCCACGCTTGTCACAAGAAACTAGGAATTATGGTCTTTGCTGCTCAGGTGGTCTCTGCTAACAAACTATGGACATTTGGTGAATTATTGACAGTCTGAAAATCTGCAAACATCTTCTCAGGAGGATAACAGAAGGTTAAATAGGGAACATGACTTCATGCCCTCATGAATCATCAAAATTTGGAACAGAAACCTGATAAGCCTTCACTTCCTGCAATAGTATTTTAGGGTAGAGTATTGTAATAAAGTTATTGATACATGTGTATTATGGTTCTTTTCATAATAAAAGGAAGATGGAAATTTAGGAGATGCGATATTATCCAAATATCGTTAGGTATAACTAAAGGCAAAATTATTTTAGTTCTGAACGGAGTGGAGACTAGTTAGAACACCTGTCAGGTTTACTGCCACCTGTGTTCCCATTAGGAAGGTTCACCTTCTATATTTGTTCTGTTATCAGAAGTGAAGGCAAAAAAAACCCCACAATTTGGGGTGTGCCCATAAAAAGTAATGGAGGGGGAAATAGGGACTAGTTCTGGAGACCTGGGGGTCCCCAAGGAACTCCCTTAGGGATTTTCTCAGATCCGGTTTTGGCTATAGAACAGGAAGGGAGGGAAAAAATTCCTGATTTGACAGACAAAATAAAATTGACAGGCGTTATAACCTTACTCCAATATAAAATTTTGGCCTATAGTTCTACTTTATCTGATAATCAATGAACTTTGATTTCTGGATAAAATCATGGGGGGGGGGGGGGGGGGTGTGTACCAATACTTTTGGTACTCGCTGATGAGTACCAATAACTTTGTCATACAAAATGAATGGGCTTAAATTCAAACGGCTAACTCTGACCTGCAAAGCCATTCACAACACTGCCCCTACCTACCTCACCAACCTGATTCCCAAGTACCACCCTACTTGTACCCTTCGCTCCTCACAGGACCTCCTGTCTTGCTCCCTGGTCTCCTCCCATGACTGCAAGACTTCTCCAGGTCCTCCCCCATCCTCTGGAACTCACTACCCCAATCCATCAAATTGTCGCCTTCCCTCCTCACCTTCAGGCGCTCCCTGAAAACCCACCTCTTCAGGGATGCCTACCCACCCTTACCTAAGAGCCGTCCTCCTTCATTCCTCCTACTACTCCACCCCCCCCCCACAGCCACTTCCTCCTGTACCACTACCGCCTCCCTCCTACATTGTAAGCTTGAAAGAGTAGGGCCCTCTAACCCCTCGTGTGCTGTTTGTTGTTGTACTGTTTCATGTATTGTCCCCCCCTCTATTGTACAGCGCTGAGCAAACCCTTTGGCGCTATATAAACTCAAAATAAATAAAGTGGACTGCCCCAGACATCACTTCCGCCCTACACCCACAGGGCTCCCAGAATTCTCTACATCTCCTCCAGCCCTGTGGGAACTGCAAGCAGCAGTGGTTTTGGATTTGACATGCAAAATATTATGCATTTTTAACATGCATGTTAAACGGTTTTGCCCATTGCTGCACTTCAATGGCGCTCTGTTTTATGGGGATCACACAGGAGCACTGAGGGTAAGCGCATGCAATTTGAACAGGAACCACACCGCATCCTATTCAGAATCGCATGCGATTCTTTGCAGTGCGATTGGAGCCCGTTCATTTTATGGGCTCAAATCACACCACAAACCGGTATCCGTTTCAGGTATCAGGATCATTTGCACAAGTACTGGTACAACCCTATCATGAATATTTAACAAATGCCAACTGATTAAAATTAGATTAAAGATTAATATCACAAATAGTACCCGCTTGGAGATTACACTTGTACATCCTATAAGATAAACACATTATTTGAACCAAGGGATAGAATGTATCTACATTGGATGGAGTAAATTCAATTTATTCCCAGAAGCCCTCAACAGGTATTCCTAGTCTTAAAACAGCTTTGTTCACAGATTCCCCTGCTGATTGGAGCAGAGCAGGACAGATGTCACAGCCGTCTATGTCTAGCCATCAGTCTATGCGGAGCAGTCATTAGCAGACCCCTCTGTGCGTCTGGGTATAAACAGTCTGCTGTCCGTTTACATCAAGCTACAGCCAAACTGGTCCACAAAAACAGAAAATTTGTTTGTGTTTTTTTTTTTTTTTAAACCAGACTTGATCAGACAGAGGAGGTAGGCCTGCACATAAGGCTCCATGGACCTTCCAATCAGGTCCGTTAGTTTTTTTTATAAGAGAAAAGACTGTAATTCTCCTTTCACATGGGCATTCTGAAAAAAACCACCCAAAACTAAAAATACCCTTGGATGAAGTCCAAAAGGGTTAAAGTGCCAATATAGATTAAAGCACAAATATGCATTTTTAAACTTCCCACAGATATACAAAACGTTCAACATGTGCAGAGCAGCTGAATGTAAACTGCTCACTGCAGGAGGCTGGTATACAGAGGAGCTGCAACAGTTTTTATTTTACCCGTTCAAACTGAACAAAGGCCACAAGCTTCTGCGCTGTTCTTGGTTTCTGTCAATAGCAACACAGGCATGTCTCCACACCAAGACCTTTTTAAATGATCAATTGCAATTCTGTGACAGTAGACAAGCATTTCAGAACAAACTGAACTCATACACATGAAGGGCCATTCTCCTGCAGGTAACTAGACAGAAAGTAAAGTTAGCTATACAAGGGTGGTCACCCAAGTATGTCTACAGTCTGGTTCTCTTGTCATACAGCCCTGATTAACCTTCACTACTGCCACGTTAGTTTTAAATGGTGGCATAATGTACATTCTTTTTCTGGGGTTTCTGTTTATAAACAGAAAAACTTGAGAAGACAGGGGTGCCCCATGAATGGCTGTAATCTGAGCCATCAAGACAGCCCAGATAATAGACCTGTACACAATGGCTCTGTACCTTGTGATCACAGTGAAGGACAATCCCTTAATCACAAATGTAAACACTCCAGTATTAAAAAGGTCTTTTTTGTACATGTGTGAAGCCCCCCCCTTCCTCAGTTGGGGAGAAAGAATTGAGCAGCAGCAGATTCAAGTTGTAGTTGAGATTGTTCAACCCCACTCACTGTACATTTCACCTCCATCCTGCCTCCCTATGTACTTGGAATATCAGCTACTTCACCTCCCTTAACCGGCATATTAACCCATTCATCCCCACATTGTATGACCTTTACATTGATCCTTTCAACTCCTCCTTTGTATGACCTGTACACTAAGGGTGAGCTGTATTAGTTAGTGTACCATTACCAAGTTTCAGGTCCCAACTTGCCACTCAGTACCAGCTTTAATTTCCAAAGACTTAAAGAAAATAAAATCACTTTGAGGTGTACTTTCCAAAAAACGAATCATTTATTTAGGGGTGTGTTCACGTTGTCCTGTCAATTTATACATTTAATACTAGATAATTAAGGAAACTTTGTTGAAGTGCTTGGTCTTTTTACAATAGTTTAAAATTCAAAAAATTCACCAATTTTGGGATTTGGTCTTTTTGGTTATTAAAGTGTAATAAAATACAGTGCGGAGTACAAATTGAGAGTTAGTGTTAGACAGTAAGGGGTGTATTTACTAAAGCTGGAGAGTCCAAAATCAGACTCCCTTCTGCATAGAAACCAATCAGCTTCTAACCTCAGCTTGTTCAATGAAGCTTTGGCAATGAAACCTGGAAGCGGATTGGTTTCTATGCAGAAGGGAGTCTGATTTTGGACTCTCCAGCTTTAGTAAATAAACCCCTAATTGTCAAACTATCACAGCACTGAAAACCAGCTGGTGCTGAATGGGTATATAAAGGCCGTGTCTGACCCGCTTTTCTCTGCAGCTCATATCCACCTCAATAGAACATGCTGCATCTGAAGAAAATGCAAAACAAGTCAAAGATTGTTAAAATCTTAATCTACACTACTCAATTTAAGTCAATTGATATTTGCAGTCCTGTTTGGTTTATGTAAAATGCAGGAAACCCCAGCCAACCTGAGCCCTAAACAGGTCTGGTAGCCTCATACATATGGGTTTATGCAAATAGAACAGGAAGGAAGGGGGGTGGGGGGGGCAGGCAGACATGTTTAATCTGCATTATCTTCGGGGTAAAGCAAAGTTCATAAAAATGTATCCAAACCTGTTTAACTGATCTCTTCAGAGAGATATTGTCCAGGGGGAGTCTTTTACTGCTGTCATAGACTAAAGCCTATTTTACAGACAGCTAAAATTGTCAAAACTCTTCTTCTGAAGACCCTAGCTGCCATGGTAATGCCCCTTTCAATACAATGCCTCCTATACACAAGCAGGCAGATGAAGGTGACAAGAGTTTGACCATCTGCATACATGTTCCAGGCTAAACGTTTTGGGAGCAGCATGAGACCTGCAACCAACTTCAAGAAAGGGCTGCAATGGAAGGCTCAGTTTCTCATAGGTTCCCTTAAAAATTAACCTAACTTGGCGTAGACCAACTCCAGACAATGCCCCCATTTCATTTTTGCACCCAAGGAATCTTCATTGCTAGGCCAGCCACAAACGTCCAGTGGTGTCGTCACCTTTAGATATTCTGTTTACCTTGAGACACATGCAAGCACCTGGGCCAAGGTTCCAAACTACACAGATTGTCAAAATCTGAGTGACTTGCACATGCATTATGCCTCTCCATTTAACCCTACAGAGCGTTCATCCTCA